ATCTCAAGCGTTTTGCAACTTGTGTAATTTCATCTACAGAGATAGTAATTCCGCTTTCGGCTGCTTAGGGTTAAGGAGTTACTCAAAGTACTCCCTCCATTGCCAAAGAATGTCATCGTCCTTGGAAGAGGGTGTCCAGATATGTTTTTCATGGTTCTGAGACTGTCCATTTTTTCACCTCAGAGCCGGCGGTTGGTCTGCCAGAATACCTTGTTTGTAGTGTGAAAATTCGACTCCAATACCTCACCGAACTTCTACCAGGAATCAGCTGTGGCATTTTCCAATGTTTTCGTTGCCGGCTAGCGTGCTTCGAAACATTGCATGCGAATAGAAGGCTCTTTGATTCCAAGCCATTTCTTGAATGCAGTTTTCTTCTCCTTAGCTGTCGGTTGTACCTATCGTGTCCAAAATGAAGATCTGATCTTATCTCGTTCGATGCTTGCCATGACCGCGTCGATCTTCATGCTGCGGTTCATCAAACTGATTTTCGCTTGATTGTACTGCTCGTCAAATTTCTCGTATTCCAAGTCGCTCAGAACTGATTTTGCCACGACCAGAGTTCGCAGTCCTTCGCGAGCCAAGTTTGCGCACTCTTCTTCCAGCCAATCTTTATAACAAACTTTTGTCTTCATCACAACATCAGCCCCCTTCAGAAAAAGAAGTGATCACCTTTGTTTCTTCTTCCTGAACAATAGTGCCCGTTTGTCTGCTTTCAGGCGTAAACGGAAACATGTGCAAGATCCAATAGCGGTGATGGTTACCAAACGGATCTTCGACCGTTATCGCGTGCAGGTCACGAGAGTAAAGCTTGAGACCCATGCTGTCGGCCCAAGATACCAGAGCCACCTTATCAGACGATGACGCCTGATAAGAGGTTGCCTTAGTCGATTCAAAAGGTGACTTCGAGCCATTGTCACTCTCTTCACTAACAGCAGTGACGTTACTGCAGATCACGAGGGCTTCTACTGACTGAAGTATCCTAGGATCAAGCGACTTTCTGGCCGTACCGTCGTTTGGGTTGGACGAGAAGGAGGAACGCAAGCAACTTCGAATCTCGTCAAACGTATCTTGGGTATAAGCGACTGTCCCAAGGTGCAATTTTCTAAAAATCATGTTATTCTGCGTTAGGGTGCCGGTTTTGTTGCATAAAAAGAATGAGATGCGTCCAAGCTCTTCGGGGATGGTGCTGCTTCGTACCAAAGTTCCGGCGATTGTTTATCTCGTGATATCAGAAAAGAGTAAACCAACTTTGCCATGTCCAAATTTACCCGCAAAAATAATAACACAAAGCGAAAGTAGGTGAGATACCAGGGCCCACGGAAACCCTTCAAACAAACCATAACCAGGGCCAAAACAGCTACGACGACGAAAAGCGCTTTTGTTAAGTTGTTCACTTCATTATCTAATCGATCCATCTTGCTGCGTGCCTGTGAAGTATTCAAGACAGAGCGGATTTCGGAACAAATATAAATAATGACTACCGCCTATGACTTACCCAGAAGCAAGGACAGTATCAGTCCAAAGGACATTTTCTAAGTTTAAGGAGTCTTCTTGAATCGAACCGGAATCGCTGATATATTTGATAGTGCCGAAGAAGCTGTGAATGTCCCGCTGCGGTTTATCGGCGTAAAGTTGCAGATTTAGGCTGAATAGCTTCGTATCATCGTCAAGGTGCTGAGATGCCGGATAGGCTACTTTGAGCTTCCAGTCAGTTTTACCATCCAGCTGGTCCGTGCGAATAAAGCATGTACCTGATTTTTCGGATGTTCTAAAAAGGACCATATCTGCCAGAACTCTTTGATTTTTATGTACTACAGTGAGATCGCCGACTTGCAGCTGCGAGCTTTTCACCTTGCGCCGATCGATTGCCGTAAGCTTTTCGTACCGGCAGCTGTTCACTTCACGATCGCGTATATGACGGCGAAAATCGTCGAAGCCCTCGCGACAAAGAGTAACGAATATGACAAATGTTAATGGACCCCAGTAGGTGGATAAGTAACCCACACGGATGGCAAGGATGAACTGTGACACTGCCATAATCAAAAAATAGAAGTTCAGGAACTGCTTGAACTGCTCGAATAACACGCACGCTATGAACGTGAACACGTTGTACTTTTGATTACGGACGACGTTCGGTGAGAACCTGAGTTTCTGCTCATGCGAAATGAAAATAACCCGTGACGATATCTCCTTTATCCGCCGGAACAGAAGCCAGCAACATCGGTCACTGAAAGAGAAGTTTACTTGACGATTGCGGCGGACTACTGGGACCAAATGGTTCATATCGTTTTATTCGTCGTACACTTCGGTGTTGATCAACGGTAGGTTTTCAAAGCCAACTTCATCTATGCAATAAAATCGCATTTAACACTGCAAATCCCGTCACATAAATTTTGCAGGTTAGCCGATAGAACAGGAGTAGCTTTGTCGCTGCATAAAACAAGATCAGTCAACGTTGGGTAAATAACCAGGCGGCAGGCCAACTCGTTTATATCGGCAGCATTCGGCGGTAGCATCGAGTATGCCGCTCTTAAACAGCTGCCACTCGGTTTCAACATTAGTGATCATCACCGGGATCTGTTCAAACCATGCGATGTTGTTTGCAAATTTCGCTCTCGTGTCCACCGAAGACAGTGTTTCCCATTTGATTCTCCGGT